CTATAGGGTACGCTATAAAAATAGTCCGGCCTTTACTTTTCTAAAATTAGGAACTGGTACTCTATAAAAATAGTCCGTAGATATAGTGGTGTACAAGCATTAGCTAATACACTCAGGAAAACTAGTATAATTTTAACTCATCAATTTACATATAGTAATGGAATTGTGTTAGCAAATGCTCTCAAAAAGATTACCACTTTAACTTCCTTGAATATTGGTTTTGGTGAAATCAAATATTTAAGAAAGTTTGAGTGCAATATTATTGATAATAGAGGCGGAATAGCATTCTCACATGTCCTTCAAGTTAATAAACTTTGACTACATTGGATATTTTAGGAAATAATATTGGCCCCAAAGGGACAGAACCATTGTCAAATGCTTTGATAACAAACAACAATTTAAACCTTTATCTAAATCTTAGTAAGAACTATCTTGATACTGAAGAAACATTAAACCCATTGATTGATGTCCTTAAGAAATCACTTAACATTAACTGCATTGAATTTTTCATCAAATCAAAAGGTAGAAATTTATTATTAAAGTCACTTGGAGAAAATGAATCCTTAATTTCATTATATTTTAAAGATACTCAATTTAGCCTGAAGATGGGAAAACATTAGCAACTGCACTTTACAATAATTTTACTTTAAATACTTTAGACATCTCACGTAATATAATTGATTTAGATGGAGGGAAAGCACTACTGTTTTTGATAAAAATAATACATTGAAATTTTTAATTATTTCTCATAATAATCTTGGTCTTCAAGAAAAAAATGAGTTAAAAGATCGTGACGGCGCCAGAACCGGCAAGTGGTACCATATTAATTGAACATTTTGGAAAAATACGAATCAAATTAACGGTCTTATCATATTTTTTGGGTTAATGTGAATTTTATTGGTTTTTTTTTTTTTCTTTAGAATTATTGAAACATTAAAATGTAGGTAGTTTCATTTTATCCATTTATTTTAAGAGAATTATTGTAATAACATTCTTGTAATTTTGATATAGTCGGTTATGCGAGACAGACTGAATTGGGCGATGCGACATTTGTAAATATGAACTTACGTACAATATATCGTTATTCACATATAAATAGATAACTTACCTTTTACTTTTTTTTTCTCAAATTAAAAGTTTGAGAATAAAACTGAACATGAATTAAGGATAGTAGAAATTACTTCAAAAGAATACGCAGATTTAGTGCGACTCAATGTATCTGATGTAAGTAGTGTTTCGAATAGAGGTTTGATTTGTTATATGGGATCTTTGCTAGGATTTTTTTTTCTAAAAATAGATTTATTATGTTTTTCTTAATAAATCTTGTGTAACAATGGCTCGTAGGGTCATTTTACTAGCAAAGATCCCATATGTTAAATCCGGGTTTAATATATGAAATATATGAATTCGGTTCCAACTCTAGTTTCGAGCGAAGTTCATTTTCGGATTTTAAAAAAGCTTCGCCAGAACACTATTGTTAGTCGTGGATCATTCACTTTTTTGTTTAAAAAATAAGCAACTATTAATATATATTTTAATATCATTTCCGAAGAATGAAACGTTCGATCCCAATTTTTATAATCCAGTATATGAACCTATAGATGATCATGGAACGTTACATTTGTCTGTTGTTGATGCAGATGATATGGCTGTCTCTGTTACTTCAGTAATTATTCTATTTCTTTAATCCACAAGAATTATAGCAATAGCATTTTGAAGTTTTAATACTTATATATTTTATTAATCAAAAATAGGTTAACAGGCCATAGGGATCACAAGTAATGAATCCCGATACAGAAATTCACCAAATGGATGACTTTTCAGTACCTGAATGCCAGATATATTTGTCTTTAATATGTTTTAATTTTTTTTTTAAACCTGGAAAAATACCACTTTCATCAATGGTTCCAACGATAATGAAAAAAACGGAAGATTTGAGTTGGCAATTGGTGCAAGTGGAGGGAAGAGAATAATTTCATCTATATTACAGGTATTCATTTTAAAAACTGAAAAAATCGGTCATTTATTATTTTACTTTATGTTGGTTAACATTTATAATTTTATAATTTAGATTACATTAAAAATATGTGGATGTTATAAATTCACCAAGATTTCATCGGCAATTATTACCTAATATGGTGAAGTTTCTTTTTTTCTTCGCTACGTACAATTTTTTAATTAATGAAAATACAATTATATATTAATAAATGAATATATGCTTATTTTATACATTAGGTATATGTAGAATACGGATTTCCTTTTGACTTTATAAGGCATTTGTTAGATATTCATCATGTTGTAAGTCTTTTTTATGATATTAAAATTTAGTATTCGGCATAAGTCAAATAGAAAAATAACTTGCTTTTAAAAATAGTTACAAATACGTAATATCAATGGTAGAGAATCTTCATCTCAAATTCAGGAAATTCGAAAATGGAACTATTCATGTTATGATAAATTTAACTTTTTTTTATGTTTAAATTATTTCTTGTTGAAAAATGAATTATGAATTGTAGCGGCAAGTAATTAATTTTAGAAAACAGAGACTTGTCAGTTAAGTAATAATTAATTCAAAAAAAACAAGCTTTTTCTCATATTGATTGTGAAAAAAGTTATTGTATTTTTATTCATCGTTAATATATTAAAAATCATTGTCATAAATGACTTAATTATGACTTTAAAAAGATTTTTAGAAATGGGTTATTAGAATTGTATAAATTTTTATATTGTCAAATTCTTATGATTTAAATTTACTTAGGCCACACAAACTTATACTATTGGTTTTATATCCCGGCCGGGTTGATGAAGTGAGGTTTTGAAATTTTAATTTTTACATAATTCCTGGGACACCTGTGAAAATTTGCCCGCTGATCCGGTTAAGCTATAGATTTCCAGATACATGATCAGATGGCTACGTAATATAAAAATATCGACATGCATACTTGTCGCACTTAAATTTTAATTCCCATTATTTGGTTCGCTCAAACGAAGCCTTTATTCTTTTTCGACGAAAATTCGGGTTTAAAAGATTGTATAAATTTCCAATTCTATTCTTTGGCAAGATCCATTTTCGTTCAAATAAAGGCATTTATTCATTTCTAATTA